GTGTATGTAGGTGTGTATGTGTGGTGTATGTAGGTACATATGTGTGTTGTGTATGGTGTATGTAGGTGTGTATGTGTGGTATATATAGGTACTGTGTGCGTGTGTGTGCACGTATGCATGTGCATGCAGAAGGTCAGGTGACATCTTGGACGAGGGTTTCTCTCCTTCAACTGTAGGGGTCACCAGGTTGGTAACAGGTACCCTTAACCTCTTATCCCATAGTCTCTTATGGGCTGAGCTATCCTATAGATTGGCCCGCCCTTTAAAGGATGGAATTGTACGGAGGTGACATTGTCCCTGGGCTGAGTATATTCCACGCTGGGGGCTCTGTGCGTGCAGGTGAGGTAGCTGCACCTAGCAGGAGCTGCAGAGGAGCAGCTGAAGGCTGCAGGTGAGCACCCAGGCTAGGTAGCAGGTAGCTCAGTACAAATACAACTCAGCTCTTTCTCTTCCCTAGGTCAGCATTGGGCCCACCTGACCTCCAACCCCCTGACCCCAGCTCAGCTTACCTGGTGGAGGTGGCACCGCCTCCAGACAGGCATAGGTACAGCCATTGTAGCAGCAGCGCCTGTGTCGTGGACACTCAGAGTCAGCCTGGCAGCGTGTGGCTTGACAGGCACCCGGGGGCAGCGTCCGTGGGGGTGGTGGGCAGCGGTCTGCGTGGGGCTGCCGGGAGCCTGTCCCTGCAACCTCTTCAGCCTGTGGGACATAGTGGAAGGGCACTGACCTAGGCTCTCAGCCTGAGCCTCTTCCCTGGGAAAACAGTTATCTGGGCAACAAGTGGGGGAAGGTCTGGGGTTGGCTTGTTATTTGTCCTCAAAGAGATGGCTTTAAGAGGGAAGCAGGAAAGGAGGGAGGGAGGGAGAGAGGGAGGGAAGGAGGGAGGGAGGGAAGAAGGAAGGAAGGAAGGAAGGAAGGAAGGAAGGAAGGAAGGAAGGAAGGAAGGAAGGAAGGAAGGAGCTACAGAAGGAAGGCAGTTTTGGAGTGTGTGCTGGGGCAGCAGTCTGCATGCTAAGCATGACCCCCTGTGAGACAGCTCTCATCTGTCTGTCGACATGTAACTGCACATACATGTATATACATGTAAACACACACGCAGATACATGTATATTTCTATAGAAACATAGTTTTGTTTATGTTACATCCATGTACCTGGAACTTTGAGAATTCACACATCACACCATCTTGGATACATCTCAACACAGTGGAACACTTGATGGCCAGAAGGTGGCGCTGTTCAGGGAGGGTGGCGGAAACTTTAGAGGGGAGGGTGTGGTTGGAGGGAGTAGGTCATGGACCTACCTGTGCCTGTGAAGAAGATACTTGGTCCCTTCCTGTCCCCAGCGTCCTGACTGACATGGCGTAAGCAACCTTTCCCACGTCACTACTGCCAGAATGCTTTGCCTTTCCAAGGCCCACAACCATGGAACCAGCCAACTATGGACTGAACCCTCGGACACTGTCATGTTTCCCTCCAGTGTCATAGTGGCAAACACCAGACTGACAGGGCTGGTGTCCTGGGTACACATATGTCCGACTTGACATAAAATCTAGTCATCTGAGAGGAGGAAACCTCAGTTAAGGGAATGCCTCCACCAGATTGGGTAGTGCTGTGGGCCAGCCTGTAGAATGTTCTCTTTAACTAGCGATTGATGGAAGATGGCCCCGCCCATTGTGGGTGGGGCCATCCCTGGGCTAGTGGTCCTGGATTCTATAAGAAAGCAGGCTGAGCAAGACAAGTAAAGCAAGCCAGGAAGCAGCACCCCTCCCTGACCTCTGCATCAGCTCCTGCCTCTTGGCTCCTGCCCTGCTTGACTTCCTGCCCTCACTGCTTTTGATGATGAACTGTGGTATGGAACTGAGTGAAATAAACCTTTTCCTCTCCAAATTGCTTTGGTCATAGTTTCATCGCAGTGATAGTGACCCTAACTACGATAGCTGGTGGGATGGCTTAGAGGGTAAAGGCGTTTGCCACCTAGCCTGCTGATTAGTTTGATCCCCGGGACCCACGTGGTGGAAGGAGAGAGCAGACTCTAGTAAACTCTCCTTTCATCTCCACATGAATGTTATTTCCCTTCAAAAATAAATGTTAAATAAAGGCTGACTATCCTCCTGCAAGGAGTGACATGGAACTGGAGAGATGGCTCAGGGGTTAAGAGCTCTTGCTCTTGCAAAAGACCCAGATTTGGTTCCCAGCATCCTCCTGGCAGCTCACAGTTGTCTGGAACTCTAGTCCCAAAGGATATGAGTCCATCTTTTGACCTCTGTGAGCACCAGCATGTATATGGTGCAGATATACAAGCAACATACCCATATATAGTGTGTGTGTGTGTGTGTGTGTGTGTGTGTGTTTATGTACGTTATCCAGGCAATTATGGTGTATGCTATTAATCCCAGCACTCAGGAGCCAGAGGCAGGTAGATCTATGAGTTCAAGGCCAGCTTGATTTACAGACTGAGTTCCAGGACAGCCAGGGCTACACAGAGAAACCCTGTCTCAACACACACACACACACACACACATACACACACACACGAAGTGACTTAGGTAGTCAGGTCTTGACTATGTGGATACACATAATCAGAACATATGTGTTTAGTGTATGAGTGTATATACATTATACATGGTGGGATGAAGATGGGAAAACTGTGAGTCTAAATAGCAACAGTGGTCCACACTTGATAACTGAATTATGATCTTTTCCAACCCATTTTTATATACAGGGTCTCATGCATCCCTGATGGCCTTGAACTTGCTATGTTGTTAAGAATAACCTTGAACTCTTAGCCCTCCTTTCTCCACCTCCCAAGTGCTTCCCTCCTAGCTGAAATGACTGCAGGACTTCACTGAGGCTTGTGACGGACAAGTGCAAGCTGTTCAAAACGGCTCTGGCTGAGACAGAGCTTGCTGGAGCCAGAACCGTTCATCAGCAGCAAGCAGCTGTGGTCACTGTGCATCTTCTCCATGGACTCTGTGGGATGCTCAAAGCAACTGGACTGCATGAGAGAGGTCTAGCCCTGGGAAGACCCTAGTGGGGAACATCTTAGCTCATTTAAAGAAAAAAGGGGGGGGGTTGTTTGCATCAGACATCCGTAGTCAACTGTAGGAGGAGCTAAGGTGGGAGGAGTAAGGAGAGGAAGAGGAGGGGTAAGGAGAAGAGGAGGAGAAGGAGAGGAGGAGCTAGGAGATGAGAG